ACACACACATACTGGATATAAAAAGTCTACACACCCCTGTTAAAATGTCAGGTTTCTGTGATGTAGAAAAAGGAGGCAAAAATAAATAATTTCAGAACTTTATCTATTTTAATGTGACCTAAAAACTGTACAACTCAATTGTAAAATAAACTGAAATCTATTTCGGGGGGAGTAAACATAAACTAAAAAAATGTTGCTGTATAAGTGTGCACACCCTCCTATAACTGGGGATGTAGCTGTGTTTAGAATTAAGCAATCACATTCAAAATCATGTTAAATAGGAGTCAGTATACACCTGCCATCATTTAAAATGCCTCTGATTAACCCTAAATAACGTTCAGCTGTTCTAGTAGGTCTTTCATGACATTTTCTTAGTTGCATCCTACAGCGAAAGCCCGCAGAGATCTTCCACAGCATCAGAGGGATCTCATTGTTAAAAGGTATCAGTCAGGAGAAGGGTACAAAAGAATTTCTAAGATATACCATTGAACACAGTGAAGACAGTCATCATAAAGTGGAGAAAATATGGCGCAACAGTGACATTACCAGGAAATGGACGTCCCTCCAAAATTGATAAAAAGACGAGAATAAAACTGGTCTGGGAGGATGCCAAGAGGCCTACAGCAACATTAAAGGAGTTGCAGGAATATCTGGCAAGTACTGGTTGTGTGGTACATATGACAACAATCTCCCATATTTGTTTATGTCTGGGCTATGGGGTAGAGTGGCACGATGGAAGCCTTTTCTTATGAAGAAAAACATCCAAGCCCAGCTAAATTTAGCAAAAATACATCTGAAGTCTCCCAAAAGCATGTGGGAAAATGTGTAATGGTCTGATGAAACCAAGGTTGAACTTTCTGGCCATAATTCCAAAAGATATGTTTGGCACAAAAACAACACTGCACATCACCAAAAGAACACCATACCCACAGTGAAGCATGGTGGTGGCAGCATCATGCTTTGGGGTTGTGTTTATTCAGCTGGAACTGGGGCCTAATGCAGGCCATAGATGGGGAGAAAAACGGCAGATTTTCGGCCGATTAACGAACTATCGGTCGGTCTAAAAAACTTACCTGACCACCAATTATTACGAAAATCGGCCGATTAATGAGTAACCTATAACGGGAAATGATGTCATTTTGTGGCCTTTGTGATCCTTTTTTCGGAAAACGATCGTTCGTTTTTGACCATCAATGAGGATAAAGTCGGGCGTTTTTTTCGAAAATTTCCAACATCACCGATAATCTGAAAGTCCAAAATACACGAAAAACGGCCGACAAAATCGTCCACTAACGATAAGATAATCGGCCGGTTTTATTTTCGGACGAAAAATCGCGTTTTTCTCCCCATCTATGGCCTGCATTAGTCAAGGTAGAGGGAATTATGAACAGTTCCAAATATCAGTCAATATTAGTACAAAATCTTCAGTCTTCTGCTAGAAAGCTGAACATGAAGAGGAACTTCATCTTGCAGCATGACAACAACCCAAAGCATACATCCAAATCAACAAAGGAATGGCTTCACCAGAAGAAGATTAAAATTAAGGAATGGCCCAGCCAGAGCCCAGACCTGAATCTGATTGAAAATCTGTGGGGTGATCTGAAGAGGGCTGTGCACAGGAGATGCCCTCGCAATCTGACAGATTTGGAGTGTTTTTGCAAGGAAGGGTGTGCAAATATTGCCAAGTCAAGATGTGCCATGCTGATAGACTCATACCCAAAAGACTGAGTGCTGTTATAAAATCAAAAGGTGCTTCAACAAAAGTATTAGTTTAATGGTGTGCACACTTATGCAACCATATTATTTTAGTTTTTTTATTTTTTATTTCCCTCCACCTAAAATATTTCAGTTTGTTGTTCAACTGAGTTGTACAGTTTCCATTAAAAAGGTGGAAAAACTTCTCAAATGGTTTAACATTATTTTACATCACAGAAACCTGACATTTAACAGGGGCGTGTAGACTTTTTATATCCATTGTCTGTGCTTTGCCCTAATAACCTATCCCTAATTAATTGTACAGGATTTATCCCAGGTATGTTCAGCAAGTTATACCACAGTTTTGTAAATTTATCTGGGCAACCCCTATTTTGATAAACCATGTTTGGTCTTTGTAAGACTTCATTAACTGTTTTTACGCATAGAGAATGAGTTGGGGGAGCCGTGGAGATCAATTTCTGCGCTAACAGCAGCAAAGGATCGCCATAGAGGTCTGAGGAGTATATACTTCTGTATTCAGCCACCGCAATACACATATCTAGGGTTCTATCAGAATATTAACTCTAAACTCATTAATAGTGTAAAATACAAATGTCCAGTATCTAACCAACTAATCTAACATCATATGTACCAATGTCCCAACAGCCCTCTCACATTGTTGACATAGAGTATCCCGCTTATGCCACTTAAAACGTTTCTGGGGGGGGGGGGGGGGGGTATAATATGTCCAATGTATAACAAACAATTGGGTAAGTCTCTGAGACACAGAAAGGGATACCTGTTCTACATTATAAAGAATATTGGACCACGCCTCATCATTCAGAAGGCTGATATCCATTTGCCAATATGATCTACACCTCAGAGAATTTGATTTTGACCTTAATTGTAACAATGCATTATAAAGCCTTGTTATCTGCCCCCTCTTAGATGTCGCTGCTAGACTTCGGTTGATAATTGTGGGTGTTACATAGACCCAAGGCATCTGTCTAGATTGGGTTTGGATAGTGTGCCTGAGTTGCAAATATTGGAAAACCTTTGGGTAGGCAGACCAAAATTCTCCTGCAAGATCTGAAAATCTTTCAGATGTTGGACCTGATATAGTTGTGCGATATATACACAAGACCTCTTTCTAACCACTGATTAAATTCCTGCAGTTTTAATAGCTCCGTAAAATTGAAGTTCTGAAAGATTTGGGTGTAATCAGTATACTCCTTGTGCTGACAATGGTCCTTAGGCTGGCCATACACTATACAATTTTCTGTCCAATTTCTTCCCAATTTCCTTTAGATTTACCTTCAACTATGTAGTACAAGAGCCTGCCTAATTGGATACAATTGAAAGTGTTGTTAGGTTTGGCCTCATATTATATGGTTTTTGGTAAATCTAAACCAAAAATCTCAAGAAGATTGTATAATGTTTGGCTAGCCTTAATCCTATTCCAAAACTTGTCCATCATAGCTAGAGTGGGGAACTGCCTAGCTAGTCTGAATTCACCTGCCTCTAAACAATCTACCAATTTTTTATCTAGGAATAACGTAAACAGTATTTTCCTAATTGGGTCAATACCCATATCTTCCTCCCAACCCAATAAACGTCAGAGCTGTGCTGACAGAAAAGTATAGGAATGGGTTTGGAACTGCCAGGCCATCATTCTCCTTAGCTTCCTGCAATGTTTCTAATTTTATGCACAAGCTATGCTTTTTCCAGAAAAGCATACGGAGTATAGTGTCCAGCCGTTTAACAACAAAAATAGGGAGCCACACCAGAGCATTATGTAAAGCATATAATAATAGTGGCATCCATACCATTTTAATTAGGTATAAATAATAATAAAAGTGGGAGATTGCACCAGCTTATAGCTTTTTGTTTAAATTTAATAAACAGTGGGTTAATATTTAAATCTGCATACCTAGAGATATCCCGATGTATAACTATTCCCAAATATACAAATGTTTCTACCACCTTTATCTGAGAAGCAACTGGTGGCAAGGGGTCTCTGAGAGGGTCAACTGGCAGGAGAACAGACTTATTCCAATTTATATTGAAACCTGAGTAAGACTCAAAAGTATTAAGAGACATCACACCTTCTATGGATGTAGATGTATCTCCCACAAATAATAATGCATCATCTGCATACAATGCCAAATTCTCCTCCGTCTCACCTCTCCAAAATCCCACTATCCGAGAATCACTCCAAATAGCCATAGCCAGCAGCTCCAATGCCAAACCAAGCAGTAAAGGAGACAGTGGGCATCCCTGCCTAATACCTCACCTTAGTCTAAATGGGGCAGATAAAGTGTTGTTGATTCTACAGCGAGCTGTTGGGGCTTTTAACAATTTAACCCATGTAATAAATTCCTCTCCTAGGTTACATTTTTCCAACACCAGCCATAAATAACCCCACTCCACACTATCAAATGCCTTAACAGCATCTAAAGACAAAAATGGCTCTATTACCAACATTATTAGGTGGGATCTGAAGATTAAGATATAGTCTATGTATATTAACTGCTGTTAACCTGTCTGGAATAAATCCCAATTGGTTTGAATGCACAAGCTTTGTTATGACTTTGTTAGATAGGCACGTACCAGGCACCTTAGCCAGAATTTTAAGATCTGTCGTCAAAGAAATTGGTCTATAAGATTCTGCAACCATTGGGTCCTTCTCTGCTTTCAGTAACACCACAATTGCTTCGTACATAGATTGAGGGAGTCTGCCATTTTAGCTTCCATTATTACAGATAATAACTCTGGAAGAAGTATACCACCAAAGATTTTATAAATGTCAATGGGCAACCCATCGCTCCCAGTTGCTTTTGCCCTGGGGGAGGTTGCAACTGCTACCTGTAGTTCTTCCAAGGTAATGGGTGCATTGAGAAACTTTGTCTTCTTCCCCCAACTCAGGCAGAGTAACCTTATTCAAAAAAATTATGGAGATCTTGTTCCTTATATGAGACTTTAGATGCATAGAGATCTTCATAAAACATTCTAAATCCCTATATAATCGAGGGGGTATCTGTAACAATACTATCTAAGGGAAGCTGCAGAGCAGGTATATGGGCAGAGGGTGTATGTGATCTTGCCACTACTGCTAACAATTGTCCTGTTTTTTCACCCTCCTCCAAAATGATTCAGAGGATAAAAAAAAAAACATTTTCTTCCTGTACTAGGTGAACACTTTAAGAAAAATTTACATTTTAAACAAATATTAAAACACTGTAAACAAATATTTTGGTATTTAGTAGGACCGCCGTAATCTATATTTTTCTAAGTATTCCACCAACCTTGACACTTTCAAGTCTAATCTGATATCCCACAGAGATTCCGACTCTCTCCGCTCTCTCCTGAGCTACACGTTCAGCGACAGAGATGGCAGATATCCTGCGTGGCTGTGTACATACAATATTTGCCAGACAACTGGAAGATCCCTTTAATGAAGCATCCAAGATGAACTGTGGAATTTGTGTGGTTTTACCACATCTGTGATTAATGAGTAAAAAAAAATAAAAAAGCACACATTAGTTGACTTGTAAGCACAAAATTATATATACATTTTTTAAATCCTCTGTGCATCACCTAGATAAAAGAGAACCCCTAAGGAAGTAAAGGAAAGTGTCTTTTTTTTTTTTAATATAGTGCTCTGTCCCACACAAGTAGTACTTTGTCCCATCTTCTTTCATGCCATTTAAGGTGAACTATGTGGTTGGACAGGATGCCCCTCTCACCATCCATCTGACAATGCAGCTAACAAGGAGAGGTCTACATAGATCCCCTGATAAAGCAGAGATTTTTCAAGATGCACTAATCTAAACTTCTTATACTTTGAAGATTCAGTGTTGCTCAAGAGTTACCTCAACCCTGCCCAACTTTCTCAAGATGGTCACTTGCTAGTGTATGTGTGTAACCTAAAAATTAGGATAGCCATCTCTGATAGGTTTGAATACGTATGAATTCCTTTACAACATTCCCACTAAGCACTCTGTACGGGTTAATGTGCTTTCTGATATATTCCACTAATCTAATACCTGGAAATAACAAAAACACAGGAGGAACCTATCAGAAGGTCAATATTGGGTCCACTCAGAGGAAATTTTCAAAAGACTTAAAAATCAGGCTGTGTACTTAAACACCCTCATCTTGATAAAGAGCCACTTCAGTGTTAAGTGGAATTCTAGGCTACCACCTAACTAGCCTTAAAATTGTGCCCTCCCCCATCTTAGCACCTATGCTAACTAACCGTTGTAAGAAAGACATATACAATTAGGTCTACATATATTTGGACACGGGCACAATTTTCATACTTTTGGCTCCGTATGCCACCAGAATAAAATAAAACGAAACAATCCAAATGCAGACTTTCAGCTTTAATTCAAGGAGTTGAAAATAAGTATCAAGTACAAATTTTAGGAACTGCAACCGTTTCTTATACACAGTCCCTGCATTTTCAGGGGCTCAAATGTAATTGGAAAAAGGAATATAATCATAAATAAAATGTGCACTTTTAATATTTTGTTGTGAATCCTTTACTGGCAATGATTGCTTGAAGTCTGGAATCCATGGACATTACCAAAGACTGGGTTTCCTCCTTTCTGAAGCTTTGCCAGGCTCTAACTTCAGCTGTTTTTAGCTGTTCTTTGTTAGTGGGTCTTTCTGCCTTTAGTTTTGCCTTCAGCAAGTGAAATGCATGCTCAATGGGGTTGAGATCAGGTGATTGACTCGGCCATTGCAGAATATTCCAATTCTTTTCCTTCAAAAGCTCCTGGGTTGCTTTTGCAGTGTGTTTTGGATCACTGTCCATCTGTACTGTGAAGCGCTGTCGAATCAACTTTGCTGCATTTGGCTGAATCTGGGCTGACAGTATATCGCCAAACACTGCAGGATTCATCCAGCTGCTTCCGTCTTCTGTCACATCATCAATAAACATCAATAACCCAGTGCCACTGGAAGCCATGCATGCCCATGCCATCACACTGTCTCCACCATGTTTTACAGATGACGTTGTGTGCTTTGGATCGATTTTGACGATTTTCTTCTCGTCATTCTGGTACAGATTAAGCTTAGTTTCATCCGTCCAAAGAGTGCTTTTCCAGAACTGGTCTGGCTTTTTTAGATGTTTTTGCCAAAGTCTAATCTAGCTTTTCTATTCTTCAGGCTTATGAATGGTTTGCACCTTGTGGTGAACCCTTTGCATTTGCTCTCATGAAGTCTTCTTGATTGTAGACTTTGACAATGATACGTCTACCTCCTGGAGAGTGTCCTTCACTTGTCTGGATGTTGTGAATGGGTTTTTCTTTACCATAGAGAGGATCCTGCGATCCTCCACCACTGTTGTCTTCCGTGGACGTCCATGCCATTTTATGTCCCTCCACTCTTCCTACCACTCCATCCCCCACAGCTATTTCCTCCTGTACCATTATCCCCTCCCTCCTAGATTGTACGCTCAAAGGAGCAGGGCCCTCGAACCTCTCGTGTATCAAATTGTATTGTTACTGTACTGTCTCGTGTACTGTCTCCCATAGTAATATACAGCGCTGAGCAAACCGTTGGCGTTATAAAAATACTGTATAATAAATAATAATAATAATAATAAGTTGTTGAGCTCAGCAGTGCGTTCTTATTTCCTCAGAATGTACAAAACTGTTTATTTGGCTACTCCTAATGTTGCTGCTATCTCTCTGATGGATTTGTTTAGTTTTTGAAGCCTTACAATGGCCTGTTTCACTTGCATGGACAGCTCCTTTGAACACATGATATAGGTTCACAGCAATAGATTCCAAATGCAAATACCACACTTAGAATCGACTCCAGACCTTTTGCCTGCTTAATTGTTGAAGTAATAACAAAGGAGTAGCCCACACCTGGCCACGAAACAGCTTTTGATTCAATTGTCCAATTACTTTTGGTCCCTTGAAAAAGGGGGGATGGCTACTCTTAAGAGCTGTAATTCCTAAACTCTTCCTCCAATTTGGATGTACATACCCTCAAATTAAAGAGTGTGCACTTTCAGCCCATATCCATTATATAACTATAGCTTGAATATGTTTTGGTAAATACCTGAAAAAAAACTAAAATTGTGCCTGTGTCCAAATATATATGGACCTACCTGTATACATACTAGTATACATACTATTTGCAGCCCGCTCCAGTCCGGTCATGTGATCCTCTGTCTGACAGCAGCTGCTGATGGGTAGAGGAGAGCACATTCTGACAACGGCTAGTAAAGCTGGGAGAGGTGACCTCACCCAAAGACCTATTCATTGTTGGCACTTCCTCCCCACCCCTGCAGCTGTGTTGGCTGACACAGGAAAAACCGGATCATGTGGCCAGACCAGCCTAAAAATACGTAAGTATATACAAGTTTCTCACACAGTTTACTTAGCAAAAGTGTTAGGAGCGGGCAGTGGACAGTTTTAAGACTAGTTAAGTTGTAGCCTAGAATTCCACTTTAAAGCGGAACTAAAAACTGTATTTATGCACCATAAACTGAAAACACTGCTTAATTTATGTTTAATATTCTCATTCAATATGTTTATTGAATAGAAAAATACAAGTTGAACAAAGACTGACATCAAGCTTAGAGATCATCATCAATTTCTGGTTTTGACATCAAGCTTAGAGATTATCAATTTTTTGTTTTTTTGTAAAGGTCCCATGTCCATTCAAACATGTTTAATATTCAAAAGCAAACTCATCCATGTATCCATATCTTTATGCTTTATTTTGTTGAGAAATCACTTTAAAAAAAAACACCCCCCAGCATTTCTAGCTGCAGCCATCTTGAGTAATGGGAGATGATTTATTTAGCATTTACTTCCTGGAATCCATCTGCCCTTAGCTCAGGCATGCATGTAGAAGGGTGTACATAGCTGAGAAAGCCTCTCTTTCCCTCCTCCAGATGAAAAAAAGAAAAATGTCCATGAAAAACCCTGGGATATATAACAACATTTTGGCCTAGGCCAGAAACCAGGAAGGAACTAAAAAATGCAACATTTTGGGGGACGCAGAAATGTCCCAGCGTACCATGTACTTCAGGGTGCCCAGGGTCCGACCATCCCACATGCATTTCTCTCTCTCTATAGCTGCAGGCATTTCTCTCCCCACCAACTGCATCTATAACCACTCCCTGAAAACCAGACTACAGCCGCCTCTTCCTCTGTTCTGATGTTTCTAGTACATAGGCCGGGAGAAGGAGGAAGGATATCGCTCTACAGCATGTGGGCTGATCTGAGGTCTGTAACAAGTGGTTTTTTGGAGTCTTGCAGAGGGGGACATGGTGACTGGGAGGGGGGGGGGGGGGGGGAGCAGCATGGACAGGTAACAACGTTTTATTTTGCCAGGAGTGATTTTAGGAAGGGTGTGGGGGTTAGAGGATATGTGCTAGGGGGATGCTTTGTTTTGGGTTAGAGAGGACTTGTGTTAGAAGAAGGGGGCGGATTTTAAGTTTGACCCCCCCATCTTCTCCCAGCACAGATCATCTCCCCTCCCAAGGACCCCTAGCACATATCCACTAATCCCCACCCCCTCTCGAATTAAAGACATGCCAGGTGATAGGTTTTGTACTGGGAGGGGGATTTAAGAGGGGGAAACTATGCTGGGAGGAGTTATTAGAGAAAGGAGGATTTGGGCTGGGGTGTATTGAAGAGGGGGAATAAGGGTTTGTGCCAGGATAAGTGGGTGAATTTGTGCTTGAAATGGGGACATGATTTATGCTGAAAAGGGGAATCTGTACTGGGGGGATTGTGCCAGAATGAGTTGTACTGGGAGGGGTGATTTGGGGGGGTGGGGGCGGTGTAGGATTTGTCTTAGAAGTGGAGAAAGGATTTGTGCTAGGGGGAGGATTTGTGAGGGGGGGAATTGAGATGGGAGGGGATTGGTACTGAATGGGGGCTGCGCTGGAAGGGAAGATTTGGAAAGCGGAAGAGGATTGGGGGAAGGAGAATTTGTACTGGGAGGAAGAGAGGATTTGTGATGGGGGCGGGGTGTGGGGATTTGTGCTGGGACGAGGAAAGGGGGTATTGAGCAGGGGGGATGATTGGGGGAGAATTTGTGTTGGGGAGGGGGCAAAGAATTGCTTTGGGAGGGGTGAGCATGCAAATTAGTCTTGGGTTTTTTTGGGAGGAGAGGGAAAAGAAACTGCACTCTGCTGGCCCCTACACTGTGTGTTATACACCTCTGGCTTCTGCACTCTTTTTGCTTTATACTCCTGATTCCTACTATGCCTTACACACTCCTGTCCCCTGTATTCTATGCATAACACTGCTGCCCCCTACACTCTGTGCATTATGTACTCCCAGACCCCTGCATTCTGAGCATAACACTCCTGTCCCCTGCATTCTGTACGTTACTGACCCCTGCTGTCTGTGCGTCATGTACTTCTAAACCCAGCACTGACTATAGCCCTCTGTGTGTTACATATTCCTGATCCTTGAACACATTGCATTACACACCCAGGACTCCTGCACTCTGTGTTATGTATTCCTAAGCCAGACACTGACTACAGCACTCTTGTGTGTTACGCAGTCCTGACCCTTGTACTCTGAGGTGAAGCTGGGGAACCTGTCAGGCTGTCAGTGAGGGAGGCGGAGGGAAAGAGGATGGCCGCTGGTTCTGGAGGACAGATGACAGAAAGAGGGAAGGAAAGGGGAGGAGGAGGTGGCCAGAGGAGGGGGTCGGGACACTGATGTAGAGGGGATTGGGGAGAGTATGGTGCTGGTGGTGTGTGCCAGGGAGTGAGGATATGGTTAAAGGCTGACAGGCTGTATTGACTCAATGATGGACATCTCCTCATGCTCTGTGTGCTGAGCTGAGGAATTTGAGCCCGTTATGCTGGGATTTGCAGTGCCATAGAGAGTCCCTCCTCTCTCTCTGTAAATGTACTATTAGGAGTTTAATACTGTACTAGTGAAAGGGACTCAGAGAGTGCTAAAAACCCACAGGTTAGGGAGCGCAAATTACTTGCCATGCTCTGGGCGCTGACAACCCACACTACACCACTGACAGTGAAGGGAAATGTCTCCAAAGAAATACAGAAAACTTAAAACAAAATCCCCTAGAAAACAACCTTTTATCATTTAATCAGAAATACCCCGATGACCTACCCAGTCATACCGCATACAACCAAGACTTGATACTTTGCCATCAGCTGCAGTATAATGTCTTGTTGCTGCCACACTGGCAGCTTCATCCTCTCTTGAAGCATAGCATGATAAACCTTGGATGCCTAGAAAAAACACAGAACATTTGTTTTACAAAAGGGTGAACTTATAGCAGCAATTAACCAAGCAGTATTAAATTGTAATACCAAAATCAAAACTGGTATTTAATTTTTGGGTGGATGCCACTTAATTTACTCCTTCACTAGATTTTTACATTTGAGTTGGTGAGATCTACTGGTGGCGTTCCCAGCTCTGTCACACATAACTATTATGAAGATAAAAACAAAGAAATCTCTTTCCTTTTGATGTATTCTGCAAAATAAATATAACATTTTGTAACCGCCTTTAGAACACTGGAGCTAGCAAACCCAAAAGCAGAGAGCTTGATTCCAGATCCTCAAGAAAAATATGAAACTGGTTGGCGATTCCTCATGCCAAAATCTAACCTGGAATCAGCATACTGTACATTATAGGTGTGGTAATTTGCAAATGATAAGTTTTGTGAAAACACTTTTTTAAAGTGAACAGCAATTTCCGGACAGGGGAAGTGACAGCGGCACAGAGGAAGGAGAGAGCAGGGAGGAGCTGGTGTGTTCTCCCCCTCCAGCTCCTCCATCCTGTCAGAACAGCAGTGCTGGGACAAGGTCATCCATTACGCAGGGCAAAGCAACAAAACTGAGGCCAAATCAGGTTTTGCATGGACCTGGAAGTGCACAGAGATGTTATGGGAACTTCCTGCTGTGTTCTCTGCCTCCGTTGGGACTTTTTAAAAAAAAATTAAATAAGCAAGAAAATGTGAGAGTAGATTCACAACAGTTATGGTAGGACTGTGTTGGGCAGCTCCCACCATAAGATAAGGTCTTGTCTCCTACCTGGCCATTTCACATCACCACATTGCAAGAGGCAATATACTGCCTTGCATTGCGCTGCAGCAAATAGAACTTAATGAAATGTCATCGTGTGATATTTCAATAACAGCCGCTGGTGTGAATGTACCCTAAAGGTTATTTTATGTTTCTGTTTTTATCATTCCTTTTTTATATTTATAAAAGGATTTGTGTTTGTTAGCAAATCTATTCATAGTTCTGATCTCTGAAGTGAGCACAGTAGTGAGTCACCATTTTCCTCAGCTTTCTACATTGATGAAATTGGGGTTGAAGGTAAACAAAGCCATTCATTCACAACCAATAAGTTAGGAGGTATTCAAAGTCATTCTTACCCTCAGAGGCTGCTGTCAGTTCTGGGCAGCACTGGGGAGTGCTGCCAGTTTCTATACACAGGGGCACTTTCAAATTGGGATATTGCATGGTTTGTTTACCCATCTCCAACCCACAATTTCTGACAGAAGAAAAGGACAAGTAAACAAAGCTTCCAATGTCCCGATTTGACAGCACACCTGTATTCAGAAGCCGGTAGCTTTGTATATAGGGAACATAGGAGCGCTGCACTGACAGGAGAGAGGAGCTAGAAGGAGAGACAACTCCACCCGGGCTCGCTTGTCTCTCCCTCCTCCTCTCCCGGACACTTCAGTACTTGGCTGTGTCGATTTTGTTCTCTTTCTCCCCCTCCTCCTTCCTGCCAATGCAGCGCTCCTATGTATCTGTGAACACTGTTGCCAACTTAATACAGAAGACCTGCACTGGCAGGAAGGACAGGGGATGAGAGAAGACCTCCTCTTCACTCTCTCCTCACCACCAGCGCTGGGCTGGAGTAGTGATGCCGCTGTTGATTCTCCTGTCAGCCTTGTAACAGAATGAGCTCACCATATGGCACCCCTATGGCTACAGTAAACTGCTGTGCCCGGGTGGCTGCCCGTCCTGTCCACCCCTTGTCCCAGCCCTGCAGAACAGCGCTCCTCCAAACAGCAGATGGAACAGGATAGCTTTTAGATCTTACTTTACAGTTTGATTACCCCTTACGCACATTTCCTGCTGCTGGGAGATGAGCAGTCTTTGGAGGAGCAGGTAATCAAAACAATACAGTCCCATCTACGAGAGATCCTGATTGAAGGATGAGGGGGATTTGTGCTAGGAGGTGATAAAGGATTTGTGTTGGGGGGGGGGGCAAAACACCTACTTTATTTCAGTTACATGTTCACTTAATGTTATTTAACATTGCAGCTTACCAATTTAAATGTTCTTTATGATAACTCTAGCAATGAAAAATCCTGCTTAGGTCTTTGTTTATGAGTGGGCTGGGGAGCTGTGTTTGCCATAAATTACCCCCTCTGTACTGTACCAGCTGATCTCATCAGTTGTACACAAGATTTGACCACCGTCTTTCTTGACAAAGGGATACAGATTTTGACACTAGGATTCTTGCATTTTATGTTAATCATATCATTTCTATCGGGACAGACTGACTCTCATACTGTTCAGAAACATTTGCAGTCAGAAATTATGCCTTCTCCTGAAGAAACATCTAAAAAAGGTAAGAAATATATAAAACTGTTTTGGATATGCTGTGTGAATGGGAACAAACACAGACATATACACCAATCAGCCATAACAGTATGACCACCCACCATAACCAGTCGAGGCATGGACTCCACTGGATCTCGGATGGTACGATGTGGTATCTGGTACCATGCCATCAATAGTAGATGTTTTAAGTCCTGTAAGTTGCAAGGTATGGCCTCCATGGATTGGACTTGTTTTTCTAGCACACCCGACAGATGCTCGATTGGATCGAGATCTGAAACCAAATCAGCACCTCAAACCATTCTTGAATTCATCAGATCAGGTCACCTTCTTCCACTGGTCCAGTTCTGATGTGTAGGTGCTTTTGACAGTAAAACACAGGTCAGTATGGGCAACCCAACTTATCTGCAGCTACACAGCACCACTACGTGAGTGACAACTTTCTATCTTCAGACTGGTGCAACATCATCACGGATTTAATATTTTTGTTGCATATGCTATATACACATTTGAACACTTGCGCTTTATTATTGTTGAGTAATCTCACTGCATTTATTCATTCAGGATTTTTACGACATAAGGTTTTTTGCACATTTGGGTACTTGCACTTCATTATTGCTCAGTTATTGCATTCACGTTTGATGATATAGATTATCTTTGAACCCGTGTGTATATATATATATATATATATATATATATATATATATATACACACATATACACACACACACACACACACACACACACACACACACGAAGCTCAAAAAATTTGAATATCGTGCAAAAGTTCATTTATTTCAGTAATGCAATTTAAAACGTGAAACTAATACAGTCTGGTCCATAAATTTTGGGACGTCAACACAATTCTAACATTTTTGGCTCTATACACCACCACAATGGATTTGAAATGAAACCAACAAGATGTGCTTTAACTACAGACTGTCAGCTTTAATTAGAGGGTATTTACATCCAAATCAGGTGAACGGTGTAGGAATTACAACAGTTTGCATATGTGCCTCCCACTTGTTAAGCGACCAAATGTAATGGGACAATTGGCTTCTCAGCTGTTCCATGGCCAGGTGTGTGTTATTCCCTAATTATCCCAATTACAATGAGCAGCTAAAAGGTCCAGAGTTCATTTCAAGTGTGCTATTTGCATTTGGAATCTGTTGCTGTCAACTCTCAAGATGAGATCCAAAGAGCTGTCACTATCAGTGAAGCAAGCCATCATTAGGCTGAAAAAACAAAACAAACCCATCAGAGAGATAGCAAAAACATTAGGCGTGGCCAAAACAACTGTTTGGAACATTCTTAAAAAGAAGGAACGCACCGGTGAGCTCAGCAACACCAAAAGACCCGGAAGACCACGGAAAACAACTGTGGTGGATGACCGAAGAATTCTTTCCCTGGTGAAGAAAACTCTCTTCACAACAGTTGGCCAGATCAAAAACACTCTCCAGGAGGTAGGTGTATGTGTGTCAAAGTCAACAATCAAGAGAAGACTTCACCAGCGTGAATACAGAGGTTTCACCACAAGATGTAAACCATTGGTGAGCCTCAAAAACAGGAAGGCCAGATTAGAATTTGCCAAACAACATCTAAAAAAGCCTTCACAGTTCTGAAACAACATCCTATGGACAGATGAGACCAAGATCAACTTGTACCAGAGTATTGGGATGAGAAGAGTATGGAGAAGGAAAGGAGCTGCTCACGATCCTAAGCATACCACCTCATCAGTGAAGCATGGTGGTGGTAGTGTCATGGCGTGGGCATGTATGGCTGCCAATGGAACTAGTTCTCTTATATTTATTGATGATGTGACTGCTGACAAAAGCAGCAGGATGAATTCTGAAGTGTTTCGGGCAATATTATCTGCTCATATTCAGCCAAATGCTTCAGAACTCATTGGACGCCGCTTCACAGTGCAGATGGACAATGACCCAAAGCATACTGCAAAAGCAACCAAAGAGTTTTTTAAGGGAAAGAAGTGGAATGTTATGCAATGGCCAAGTCAATCACCTGACCTGAATCCGATTGAGCATGCATTTCACTTGCTGAAGACAAAACTGAAGGGAAAATGCCCCAAGAACAAGCGGAAACTGAAGACAGTTGCAGTAGAGGCCTAGCAGAGCATCACCAGGGATGAAACCCAGCATCTGGTGATGTCTATGCATTCCAGACTTCAGGCTGTAATTGACTGCAAAGGATTTGCAACCAAGTATTAAAAAGTGAAAGTTTGATTTATTATTATTATTCTGTCCCATTACTTTTGGTCCCTTAAAAAGTGGGAGGCACATATGCAAACTGTTGTAATTCCTACACTGTTCACCTGATTTGGATGTAAATACCCTCAAACTAAAGCCGACAGTCTGCAGTTAAAACACATCTTGTTAGTTTCGTTTCAAATCCATTGTGGTGGTGTATAGAGCCAAAAATGTTAGAATTGTGTTGATGTCCCAATATTTATGGACCTGACTGTATATGAGATAGACTCATTACATGCAAAGCAAGATAGTTCAAGCTGTAATTTGTCGTAATTGTGATGATTATGGCTTACAGCTCATGAAAACCCCAAATCGGCAATCTCAGAAAATTAGAATATTGTGAAAAGGTGCAATATTCTAGGCTCAAACTGTCCCACTCTA